CAATTATGCTGAGTCAGGCTTGATTTTTAGTAATCTTTTCCTGTTAAATCAATAAATCAAATCAAATCAACTCTTCACCTCAGATTAAATCCAGTTAAAATCTAAATTTAGTTTTTGATTAAAAGCTGAATGTATGGAAGTCCAACAGGACCAAATATTTAATGTTGACAAAAAAACATTTTAATTTGAGGTAAATTAGATTGGATGTTTCATTGAGTCAAATGTACTTTTATTTTGGTTTTTAATAAAACTTGAATATTATAAATGATAAAGGCCGGTTATTTCAAATGTGTTGAACTGTCAGCCGAAGGTTTCTGCTGAATAATTTCATGTTTTCACAACAACATGTAGTCTTCTTCTTTCTGTCAGCTGGGTTCATGATGGAGAGCTTTGTTAGGCCCCGCCCACAGGGCTGGGTGTTAGGCCCCGCCCACAGTGCTGGGTGTTAGGCCCCGCCCACAGTGCTGGGTTTTAGGCCCTGCCCACAGTGCTGGGTGTTAGGCCCCGCCCACAGTGTTGGGTTTTAGGCCCCGCCCACAGTGCGAGACGGGGTTTTTCCAGCTCAGACTGTTGGGTCTGTTCTCGTTCTGAAACAGTTTGTTCTGCAGAAGAAAACCTTTGTTTCTTCTTTTTCCTCGACTGTTTCAGCTCAGCTCGTCCCTCGATTGTTAAAAAACCAACTGTCTGTCGTTTCCTGGCTCCAGCAGCTCTGCAAAGTTTTATTTGCAGCGAGGTTGGAGGGAGTCGAGTCGTTCTTACTGCTAACAGAACCCAGCACAGCTTCTTATAAATATATAAATATATATTCAGAAGAGATTTTTAAAGACTGGATGTCCTCTTTTTACTCCTTTTTGACCAGATTACAGAGCCAGCATGCACACGTGGTACTTGACTGTTGTTTTGTGTCTAAAAGAAAACCAGTTGTTTTTGGAGAACAGCTGTTTGTTTGATGGTGTTTTCAGAATCTCTTGAATTTAACATCAAGTTAGTCTTTTTGTGTCGAACTGAGGAAAAGATGTGATAAAGTGATCAATCTTCAGTGGACTGTCTGGTGCAACACGGGCAGCTTTATGTTCTCGTATGGGTTGCAACAGTTTGGTGTTCATTTGTTTCAGAGTTGATGTGTATCAGTGCAGCACCATGTTCAACTCTCTCAGAATAAAATGAAGATTTTGTTCAAAAATCTGAGTGTTTTTATTTGTTTTGTTCAAATGTGAACATTTATTCAAACAGAAGATAAAGATGATGGATGAACTGAGGCCTGCGTCACACGGGCTGCCGTTTGTAAAGTTACACTGTCAACAATTACCACCAATATTGTTGTTTTATTTAACCTTTTTATAAGAAATAAAGAACAGATTTATTTTTCAAAGTCAGTTTTTCACCATATGATTCATACATTTATAAATGTCATAGTTTATAAACTAAATATTTAAC